GCACAGTAGGGCAACTACAGTGAAAGCAAACCATAACACAAAAAGCTGTCAGAAAGGACTGCATATTTGTATCATGCAGTGTTTAACATTTGTGGGGATGTGTTTGCTCCGATTTAGACACAACAGACATGCTTCAAAATATTATAGGTACCCTGCGAATATGTACAACGTAATGTGTCAGAAAAAGCGGTTTTAAAGATGTATTCATTTTTATTTGAAAGGCAGATTTACACAGAGAAAAAAAGATCTTTCATCCATTGGTTCACTCTCAAAATAGCCACAACAGCTGGAGAGGAGCCAGTTCAAAGCTGGGAGCCAGCAGCTTCTTCCAGGTCTCCCACATGGGGGCAGGTGCCCAAGAACTCAAACTGTCATTGGCTGCTTTCTCAGATGTATTAGATGGGAACTGGATCAAAAATGGAGCAGCCTGGACTGAAACCGGTACCCATATGGGATGCCTGCACTACGAAGACACCACACCAGTGCCAAGAAATTTTTTAAATTAAACTTCTGTGTACTTCAAATAGGCATTGGCTTAGCTGTTAAGACACCAGCCTCGTGCATTCAAGTGTCTTCACACAGCCCGGCAGGTGAAGAGATGGCTCAAGTGGCTGGATTCCGCTGCCCACTCTGGGGATGTGGACTGGTCTTTGGTTCCCACACCAGCCATTGCAGGATGGGAACTCTGTTTCCTGGGGCAGCTAGCGGATGGGAGCTCTGGCCATCCCAACCACTCTGCTTCTCAAATAAAACTTTAAGGGCCCGGCGCGATAGTGTAGAGGTGAAGGTCCTCGTCTTGAACATACCGGGATCCCATATGGGCGCTGGTTCTAATCCCGGCAGCTCCACTTCCCACCCAGCTCCCTGCTTGTGGCCTGGGAAAGCAGTCGAGAACGGCCCAGAGCACTGGGACCCTGCACCCATGTGGGAGACCCAGAAGAAGTTCCTGGCTCCTGGCTTTGGACTGGCTCAGCACCGGCCATTGCAGCCACTTGGGGAGTGAATCATCAGATGGAAGATCTTCCTCTTTGTCTCTCCCCTTCTCTGTACATCTGACTTTGCAATAAAAATGAATAAATCTTTAAAACAAAAACTTTAAGATTTGTTTTGGCCCTTTAGAGAGTGGACCTGCAAGAAAGAATTCTTGCTCTAGAAATTAGCCTTTCAAATAAAAATAAATCTTGAAGAAAAAACAAAAGACACGTGCAAAGGACACGTGAAGAAGATAAAAAGCCAGCCACAGGCTGTGAGAAGATATCTACTCATTGATCTGATAAGAGATTGCAATCTAGGAAAAACAATGTTGTTTCCCAGGACCAAAAGCAGGGCCCATGGTTTAGTGGTTCAGTGAGAAACAGTACTTCCAGAGCAGTTGTATTTCAGGCAGGCCTAGGACACAGGTGGAATTGCAGACCCCAAAGCAGGAAAACTGTGCACAGCTCCCCCAGCACTGCATTGGAGAGCCTTTCAGCCCGGTCAGAGTCAGGGTACAAAACTTCTAAAGCGCAACAGTCACCAAAATACCCGAAGGCATGGGTAAAGAACAAGAAGCAGCGTGATGCACAGATGACTTGCGGGGGAGGGAGGAGAGTGCACAAAGCACAGGAAGCAACACCCAGCATGACCACTAGGGGGTGTAAGTGAAAACCAGCGAGACAGCCAGATACTACCCAACCCATCAGGAAGGTTACTGAACGATAGAATACAAAAGAGTTAAGTGTTGGATACGGCACAGTGGCCTAGCAAGCTAATCCTTTACCTGCAGCGAGCGCCCGGTGCCCCACTTTCAATCCAGCTTCCTGCTATGGCCTAGGAAAGTTGCAGAGGATGGTGCAAAGTCTTGGCACCCTGCACCCTGGTATGGGGGACATCTGAAGGAAGCTTCTAGCTCCAGATCAGCTCAGCTCTGGCTGTTGTAGCCAGCCATTTGGGGAGTGAACCAACAGATAGATGTGTATCCCCATCCCCCTTTCTGTCGGACTCAGACTTCCAGGCAAAATAAATAACTAATAGTGAAGTGTCGACATGAGCAACTGGGACCCTAGTACATTCCTGCCAGGTGTGCACATAGGGCAGCCCCCTGCGAGGCACACCCACAGTAGGATCCAGCCAAGCCAGTCCCAGGAAGATACCTCTGGGAACTGAGAGGCGGGCTTGGGCAGGTGTTTGCATCATCACAGCAGCCCTAGCCAGGGTGTACCGGGAAACCTGACACCAAAGAACACTTGCTCCAGGAGCCACACAGTTGATGAACCTGGGACAGACAAACGCACGGCGCAGAGAACAGCAGCAGTTGGCCCAGGAGCTCAGCTGTGGCCTGGGTATACCTGCAGCCGGACCACAGTGCCATGGGTTCAAGACCCGGCTGCGGCCTGGGGACACCTGCAGCCGGACCACAGTGCCATGGGTTCAAGACCCAGCTGTGGCCTCACCTGCAGCCAGACCACAGTGCCATGGGTTCAAGACCCAGCTGTGGCCTCAGCTGCAGCCGGACCACAGTGCCATAGGTTCAAGACCTGGCTGCGGCCTGGGGACACCTGCAGCCGGACCACAGTGCCATGGGTTCAAGACCCAGCTGTGGCCTCAGCTGCAGCCGGACCACAGTGCCATGGGTTCAAGACCCAGCTGTGGCCTCACCTGCAGCTAGACCACAGTGCCATGGGTTCAAGACCCGGCTGTGGCCTCACCTGCAGCCGGACCACAGTGCCATGGGTTCAAGACCCAGCTGTGGCCTCACCTGCAGCTAGATCACAAGGCCCAGCTGCATTTCCCATCCCAGCTTTCTGCCACACCCCAGGAAGCCATAGGCAACTGTGCAAGTACTTGGGTGCCTGTCACCCACTGGGAGACCCCAGAGGGCATCACCAGCTCCTGGCTTCAGTCCAGCTCAGCCCTGGCTCTTTGGGGACACCGGGGGAGGCAATCAACACAGGGGACATCTCTTTCTGCTTTCCCAATAAATATCAATTATAATGAGAAAAAAAAAGCCTAAGTACAATAACTTCTCAGGATCCGTGGGAGGAGGAAGAATTGCTGTTAGGAAGGTGACTGCAGCTTGAGGTGATGATGTTTGTGGGGGGGGGTAGCTGTACCACCCTGTATTACTGTCCTGAACACCACGCACTGTGCTGAAAGACGGCCACAAAAGGAAACACATGTTTCACCGCAAAAACAAAATTTTCAAGTACGCAAGAAATGGGGTGAAAACAATATTAATAATTCCAGCAGCTACCACATCAGCAAAAAGTTCCTTCTGAAACTAAACAGAATCAAACATAACTTGTCACCTTGTATTTATTTGCCAAGAGCAAGTGACCTCACTTCAGACTGGTTTGACTGAAAATCAAGGTGTCAGAATTATGAACTCTGATGACCTCATCAATATATCCACAGGTGAGTCAGAAAAACCTCAGGCCCAAGCAGGAGATGGCGTATGGGATCACATGAAGTGTCAGCAATAGGAAGATGTAGGCTTGTTACTTAGGTTTCACTATTCCCCCCTTACACAGTAAAGTCCCCTGCAGGGCTCCAGCCTGCTAGCCAGTGTCTACAACCTTGCTTCTCCCCTGTGATTGCAAAGAAACTTCCCGGTTCCTGCAACCTGAACCTCTCCCGGGCCCACCCTGCTGGACGGCTCCAGCCTGTCCACCTCCCTCGAATCAGTGAGGCAACAGCAATGGGAATGTATGTCCAACTGATGTAGAGAGTATGTGTGTGTGTGTGTGCGCGCGCGTGAACATATGTGGGTGTGCAAGCAGTCTGCAAAAAGCCCTGGGGCACCAACCACAGTCCACCTGGACTCAGCATCTTCAGAGACCACATCTCTCATCCAGGCTGGGAGCATGTGCAGGAGCAGGTGCATGGCCTAGTGGCCTGCTTGCCACCAGGGTGGGGCTAAGGGAGTTGACAGGTTCCTGCTGATATGCACCCTGGGGAGCCCCGACAGCTGCAGGCATCACCCTCTGGTTAAGGTGGGGAAGGGGAAGCTTGGGACCCAGTTCCTGCATCACCGTGCTTTGGTCCAGCCCAGGGCTGGCTCTTGTGGGAATTTGCAGAAGTGAAGCACCAGATGGGTGTGTGTGTGTCTCTCATAAAGGTGATGGGGTACCATACTCCTGATGGGACCCCTTCAGCAGGGTAAAAACCAACTACCAACCGCAAGTGAGGCCAGCGCTCCAGACCAGAATCAACAACCTTGAAACCTGAACACTCACTCCCCTCTCTGTGACCTCAAGACCCCAGGCTGCTCTGAGCCCCAGAGACCCTCCGGAACCCAGGGCCAAGCAGTGTCAGCACTGCCACTTTTTATTATTATTATTATTAATTACATTGCATTATGTGACACTGTTTCACAGGCTCTGGGATTCCCCCAACCTCCCCCCATACCCTCCCCCCACGGGGGATTCCTCCATCTTGGCAGCACTGCCACTTTCAAGGGCATCTAAGTGTAGAGGGCCGAGCAGGGACCCTGGGCACGAGCTGGGCCTGAAACCTGACTTTCCAAGTCACACACGTGTATGTACCACAGGGCTCTGGGACTGGGTGGGTGAGGGTGGCCCAGCGACCCCCACAGCTGGGGCTGCCCTAGGCCTGCACATGCACTTGCTGAGCCTGTCCCAGGTGCCAGGACTGGAGGGGTGTGGCTGGAACAAGGGGAGCCAGCTGCGGGGTCTGGGGCCAGTGCAAGGTGGCCTCCCGTAGGCCTGTGCCTGCCTGAGGAAGGAAGCGCCCCCTCCCCACCGCCTCACCTTTGCCCCCTGTGTAATCGCTGTGACCTCACCCCGGCCTCCTGAGCCGCGTTTAAAGTCCACCTGTGGGAACGCACGGGCTGAGCAGGGCCCCGATAATCCCTGCCCTGGGCCGTTCCACATCCGGCCCGGTGGGCTGCGTCCCCCAGCCCGCGCTTCTGGCGACACCTGCGGCGGCCGCCCTTCCCCACCGCCCCTGGACGAGGACGACGACCAGGGCACTGGGCACCTACCCCACGACCCGGCGGCACGATGAGGCTGGCCGCCGGCTGCCTGTTGCTGTGGCTCGGCCTGGGCGGAGGGCAGGTTCCTCCGGGCCCCGAGGAGGCCGCCGAGGAATCCTACTCGGACTGGGGCCTGCGGCACCTCCGGGGCGGCTTCGAGTCCGTCAACAGCTACTTCGACTCCTTTCTGGAGCTGCTGGGGGGCAAGAACGGCATCTGTCAGTACCGGTGCCGGTACGGTGAGTGCAGTTGCCCTCCAGGGCGGGGCGGGGCCCGGGTCACCGCCGGTTATCCAGGGCTGTAACACTGTTGGGGTGCCCAGGCGAACCGCAGAGGTGTGGGGACAGGTGGCTCTCATGGAGTGTCTGGGATGTGGCTTACTCAGATGCCAGCTGGCCTCCTCTATGTGGCCAAGGAGGAACCTTTGAGAGGCCGTGCACCTGTGTTGGGGGAAGCAGGTGCGGGGAGTGGGGGGCAGCAGCCCCACGGGAGGTAGTAGAGGGCCTGGAGGAGCTATGGGTGGCCACCCAGGGTTAGAAACCAAGAGGAACCTTCTGCAGTGGCTCCCCACACTAGGCCTGCCAGGGTCATACTGAGTGCTCCCAGCGCCTCCAGGCTCCCTGGGTCTTTGAGGGGCATCAACTTGGCCGGGCCGCTTGTTGCCTGCTAGGGTCCCCTGAAGCCACCTGCCAACCTGCACTCCAGAGGTGGATGGGAGCAGCTGTGGAGTGGCGAGCTGATTCGAGCGCTGCCCCTGGGAAAGCGCAGGTCCTCCCGCCTGCCCCCAGGAGCCCTCCGAGCCCCTGGGGCTTCTCTCCCTGTTGGGCTCCTGTGGGGGCCACGCTGCCACAGCTCAGACCCACCAGCACCGGAGGGGGGTTGCCTTCTCCCACTGCTCCCCATGACACAGGGCGAGCCAGGTGAGCCCGAGAGGCACTTTTTCAACACACTTGGCTGTGGGATCCATGAGAGCCATGCCCCTGCCCCTCTCCTCCGCACTCTCCCCCTTTTAATCTTTAAAGACGGAAATAGTGCCCCTTACACACATAGGGGGACTGTGTGGGTGGAGACAGAAGAGCAACTGGGAGATAGCAGTAAACCACACGCTCTAAGATCACATAGGACACATGGAAATCCATACTCCCCTCCCTGTAAAAGCCTGGTAGGCAGTCCGTTAACTAAGGCCCCCTCGCCCTGGGTCCCCGGAGCCACGAGGTTGTCCAGGGTGGGTGGGCTCAGTGCAGACCCCTATATCCCAGTTTGCACGGATGGGCAGAGAAGTGGCTTGCCTCAGTGGCAGGTGTTGAATGGTCACAGGTGTCTTTTCTTTCCTAGGGCTACATGACTAATACCTGTGGTTTTGCCAACAGTCAACAGCAGGGATTTTTTTTTTCCTTTTTTTTTTTCAAATCAGAGATTAAACCCTCCCCTTCCGAGTAAAGATTTGTACAAATTGTAGCTGCAAGGCCTGGCAGGCAGTTGGGGGAGGGGCTGGTCAACAGAGCAACCAAAGGCAAATAGCTCCTGTCCATGGGATGCCTAAGGGGCCTGGGGATCTGCAGAAGTGGGGGTTAGGTCTCGTTACCTGTGGCTCCCAGAGAGCCTGCAGGCCCTTCCCACACCAAGCCAGTGTCTTCTCAGGCCAGCTCAGAACGCCGACCCCACCAGTAACAGTGTGTCTGCGCTTGGCTGTGTAGCTCATGCTGGGTGTGAGGCTGGGGCTGCACAGGTCTTTTTTCAATTAAAACAGATTGCAGGTCCCACCCTCTAGGGTTTCTGATTGGCAGGTCTAGGGGGTGGAGTCAAAATTTGCATTTCGAAGAATACGCATCAGGTGGCCCCGCAACTGAAGCTGGGGGCTGGCGTGGAGGTCGAGGTTGGGGTGAAGCCGCCTTCCTTTGAGAAAAAGCTGTTTCAAATATCAAGGCCTTTTGCAAGAAGGTGGCATAAACGAACTAGGAAAAGGCTCAGTGCCTGACTCTTGCCGCCCACTACCATGCACCCTGAGGGTTCACCAGGGGAACAAGTGCTAGGAATCACCAAGATGCCAGCACCTAGGGAGGCTCAAGTCCCTTACTACAATGCAGCCGCGTTTTCTGCCTAGAGTGCCTGTCACACGGGACACAACGCACGTGCTAAGCGAGCAGGGCGAGGCTGTGTCATTGAGGGGATAGTAAAAGGGGTCTACAGTCGTGTTCAGCCTGCCACAGTTCCTCCCAGCACAAATGCTGGTCCACCTGTAGTCGGTTGAGGTTCTGATGGCGACGTTCCAAGTCTGCACTGGTCAGAGAGCGGGCTGGGAACAGGACAGGGCGCAGGAGAGGAGCAGACATGCTGCCCCTTCCCGCCGCGCACTAGCTCGGCCTGGAGCTGTGCCGTCCCCTGGGCCGCGCTCCCGGCAGGTGCACTTTGACCAGGCTATGGGAGTTTGGGATCACCGGAAACGGAGGGCGGGGGGTTGTGGAGTGGAGTTTGAGTCTGGGGACAGTCTCGCTGGCTAGGGGTCACCTGGAGGCAGTTTCCACAGCCTGGCCAACTGGCCAGCAAAGTGTAGGGTCTTCCGTATCTTTCTCAACTTTAGAGGAAACGCTGGCACCCCCAGGGCTGGTGAGCACGCTCTGTGATTTGAGGAACAGAGTTTAGTTCTGAGAAAAAAATGCACCTGACAGATACCTTAATTATCAGCCTGTTTTTAAAAATTTGAGTGGACAAATAAGATTAATCGCATTAAAGAGCATGTCCATCATCACCAACTAGCATGCTTTTATAAGCGACAGTCAGAAAGAGTGTTAGATTTACCGACCACCCATGAAAGAAAAACACCAAGTACAGAGAAGATGAGGGCGGAGGAGGGGATCGCCCATCCACGGAGTCCCTTCCCAAATTCTAGGAATCCTTTGGGAGCTGGGAACTGAGTCTAGGTCTCCCACATGGGTGGCAGCGGCTCAGCTACTCGCTCTGGCATCTGTTGCCCGCCAGCTTGCGTTGGCAGGATACCAGAATCCAGGGCAGAGCTGGAACGTGACCCTAGGCTTTCCCAGCAGCGTCCAGCCCTGTTTTCCTATAGCCGGGACTTTCAGAATCTCTTCCTTCAGCCATTTTGAAGTACACATTACATTACGAACCGTGATCACTAGGCACCAGGACACTAAGGCCTGCTCCAGGCTGATGGAGACCTCCAGCTCTTTGCTCAGCATCTCCCCATCTGCTCCCCCGCCCCTGGTAACCACCTGCCTACCCTTTCCATCAAGTCCACGTGCTAAGCACGTATAAGTGAGATCACATGGTATTTGTCTTTCTAGCTTACTTCATTTAGAACAATGCCTTCCAGTTAAACCACTGTGCAGCACATGACAGGATTTCAATCTTTTGTGGCTCAGAATTCCATCGTGTCTCAGTTCCCATCTTGATTCCAGCATCAGTTGATAGGTGGGTTCCATAACACGGCTGTTAGGCGTGAGGAGAGTGCAGGTACCCTTCAACACACGGTTTCAATTCCTTCGGAAATGCATGCAGTAGTGCAACAGTGAGACTGCTGGATCAGTGGCTGGTTCTAATTTTTCTTTTTCCTTTTATGTATTTATTCTTTAAGGAACTGCTACACTGTTCCCAAAATGGCTGTGTTCATTTCCATTTCCATCCAGTGTGCAAGGATTTTTCTTCATGTTCTTTCCAATATCTCTTATTTTTGTCTCTTTGAAAATAGCCATTTTAGAGACTGGCACTTTGGCATAGCTAACTGGGCCTCCATCTGCAGTGCTGAAGTCCATTATCGGCACCAATATAAGCCTCAGCTGTTCCACTTGCTACCTGGCTCACTGCTAATGTGCCTGGGAAAGCAGGTGCTTGGGCCCCTGCACCCACATGGGAGACCTGGAGGAAGCTCCTGGCTCCAGATTAGCCTCATTTTGGCCACTGCATTCACTTGGGGATTGAGCTAACAGGTGCAAGATCTGTCTCTCCTCACTGTAACTCTGCCTTTTAAATTTGAAAAAAAATTTTTTGAGATTTTATTTTTATTGCAAAGTCAGACAGATATACAGCGAGGAGGAGAGACAGAGAGGAAGATCTTTCATCTGTTGACTCATTCCCAAGTGGCTGCAATGGCTGGTGCTGTGCCGATCCAAAGCCAGGAGCCAGGAACCTCCTCCAGGTCTCCCACATGGGTGCAGAGTTCCAAGACCTCTGGCTGTCCTTGACTGCTTTCCCAGGTCACAAGCAGGGAGCTGGGTGGGAAGTAGAGCTGCTGGGATTAGAACCGGTGTCCATATGGGATCCTGGTGTGTTCAAGGTGAGGACTTTAGCTGCTAGGCCATTGTGCCGGGTCCCATAAAAAATTTATTCTTAAAATGAAAGTAGCTATTCTCAGGTGTGAGGCGAGCGCGCACGCAGCATGGCTTTGCATTCGGCTGGTGACTAAAGACGCCGACCCGTGCTCACGTATCCGCGTTCCTCTCTCTGAGGCCCTTGGGCCACGTAAAAATACTGCTGCCTGCTTTCTTGCTATTAAGTTCCTTAACTGCTTCTGAATATTAACTCCTTAAGAGATGTGTGCTTTGCAAATAGAAGGGCCTGGCCTTGTCTGTGCTCTGCGAATGCTCTGCAGCTGCTCAGAATGCCAAAAATGCTCAGCTTGCTGGTTTGATGCAAATTAAAGAAAATGAAAAGAAAAAAAGTTGGTGGTGGCAGACATGCTCATTAGTATGATTGAATCTTATCATTTGTCCAGATTTTTTAGAATAGGCTGATCGTTAACGTATCTGTCACATTTTTTTTTTACATTTAAAAAAACGGGGAATGAGGGAGTTATTCACTTAAAAATTTAGAGCAAGATGTTATGAATATTGGAGTTTGTATTTCTCTGAAGGAGAGATTTCACAGCCTCCCTCAGATCTTTAAGGCAATCCATGACCCACTGGGAGAGAAAAAAAAAAAAAAAAGAGCGTGGACTTAGAAGCCTATAGATTGGCTCTCTGCTGGGGTGACAAAGCTCCCACCCTCTATGTCTGAAGCAGGAGAGATGGGTTCGAGAGTGGTGGGACTTTGAGAACTAACAAAGGGACAATGTCAGGTAAACCAGAACAAGTGGATCCCTCAGCCCATGCAGTCAAGTCTGTTTTAGCAACTGAATCAGAGTTCATTGCCACCGGTGAGTTGCAGGGTCTGCTGGGCTCCGCTGATGTGTTTCGGATGTGGGGTCTGAGTCTCTGCAAGGAGCCAGAGACACGTCTCCAGCCCA